GGCAGCGTTTTTTTTTTGGAGAGGTTTTTGCTATAGGGCGCGTGCACTCACCAGAAAGACAGAGAGAGACAGAAAGCGAGAAATCACCCCCCAGGGGGATGGCCACACCGCAATCCCTTCTCTTCCATTCTCCTCTTGGGATCTTGGGCACGCACACACACGCACCCGGCGTGAGTTTAAGCTGCTGGGTCCGGGACTCAAACCACGGTTGACTGCATGGGAGTCCAGCGACATAGTCATTATGCTAACTGCTGGTCCCGAGAGCAGCCTTTTGTGGAATTCTGGGAACTGGCTTCCCCAGCAGGATTTCATGGAGAGAGGAAGCCTGGGTCTTACCCAGATGTCTCAGGCCCCAGGGGACCCACCCACTGAGCCGCTGCCTGCCACCCACCCTGAATACCCAACTCGGGCTATCTGAGCGGAAGACCGGGCCCTGAAAAAGTGGCCCTGGGAGGGAGAGTGAAGACCTTGAACTTAGGCCAGACCGGAAGAAGAGACCAGGAACTGGTGGGCTGGGGTCCCAAGAGGAGGGGACCAGAGGCCCACTCTGCTAGTGCCACCATGGCATGGCCCAGGGGGTCACAAAGTCAGTTCTGCATGTGATCTTCAGTGTCCCTCCATCCAGGCCACCCTTTCGTCAGGAGCAGCCGAGGGGCTGGGGCTGCCCTGTTCACTGCTCACCCCACTGACAGCCTGACTCCCTGGGGGCAAGTGTTTTTCTGAGCTGCGAAATCTGGGGAGGGCCCTCTCTTCAGTGAGCCTGTCTCGTCCTCTGCCGAATGGGAGCAGGACCCCAGGGGCACACTCCAGTGAGGAGACGCTACCCAGGCAGTAACTTGGCAATGGCGGTTGAGGCTCCTTTCGTTAATAGGGAGGAGGCTGGGCAGGGGCCGGGGCTGTCATTTTCCAGGGGAAGGGTCCTCGGCGCCACCGGGCTGCCTGCTCTCTCTTCCCTTTCCCTTTGCCTCCACGTCATTCTTCTCAGAGGAAAGGGCCATGGGGACAAAAAGAGACACGCCCCGTGGGACCCCCGCCTGGGACAGACCCCTGAAGGAGGTCGGGGAAGGCTTCTCACGGAGGCATTGCCCAAAGCCGAAGATAGGACTCCCTGGTCCGGTGGTCTCCGGGAGCCAGTCAGTTATGGCGCCCGTAGACAGCTGCCTGGCTCTGGATCCTGATGGAAAAAGGGGGCTAAAGGGGGCTGGAGGGCCCAAAACGACAGGAAGAGCGACTATGGAGGGGGGACAGAACCGGGAGAGCTCCAGGGACCTCTGTGGCAAGAATTTGAGACCCTTGTCTCCAGGACAGTGTTGCTGTAACCACCTGTAGACAGGGATGTCAGCAGGTTGTCACTACAACTTTTTGTAATAGAATGGGATCAAAGAAAAAGAATAGGGGCCAGCAGGTGGTATAGTGGTTAAGGCACTGGACTCTCCCATGGTCAACCATGGTTCAAGTCCTGGACCCGGTGGCTTGAAACTCACTCACGCCAGTTGTGTATGTGTGCATGCATGCCCAAAACCACAAGAGGAGAATGGAGGAGAAGGGACTGTGGTGTAGCCACCCCATACCCCCGGGAGGGTGATTTCTCATTTTCTGTCTCTCTGGCAAGCACACATGCTCTATAGCAAAAATCTCTTAAAAAAAAAAAAAAGAGAGAGAGAGAGAGAGAGAATAGAATAGGGCTGGCTTTGTGGCCTAATGGTTAAAGGGAGCTGGATCTCACTTGGCTGACCCATGGTTCAAATCCTGGCCCTGGCAGCTTGCAACACATCAGATGTGTGTGCATGTGTGAGAAATGGGGGGGAAGGGATTGCAATGTGATTGTCCCCATAGGAGTGCTTTCTGTCTCTCTCTCTCCCATTCTCTTTCTGTCTCTCTCTCTCTGGCGAGTGCACCATCTCTCTGGCAATTAAAAATTTTTTAAACAGAAGAGAACAGGATGGAATAGAATAGAATGAATAGAACGGACTAGAAATACTGACATACCTTGGGCAGTGACTGTGACAACTATTTTGTGAGCCTTTTGCATCGGGACTGTTTCAGAGGTTGCCAGGTGACACGGGTTTCTTAGTCACCAGAGAAACTTCGGAAAGCCACTGTTCTAGGGCCGGCTGAGAATACCCAGCTTTTACTGCCTGCTGTTCGTGCTCTGCGTTGGACTCACAGAGCCGAGCCAGACAGGCGAGGGCCACGTCCTCACAGCACGTAGGGGTGGAGATGGGGAGACAGATACAGCAAAGGAGTAAGGGGCAGGCTCTCTGGAGAGGGAGGGACGTGCTGGGGAAGGATTGGAGCAGGGTGGGTGGTGGAGAGGGAGGTCAGGGCAGACTGCTCGGAGGAGGCAACTCCCTTTAACCAACCATTAGACCACAAAGCCTGCCCTATTGTATTGTTTTTCGTTTACTTTCTTCTTTCTTTTGTATTTTCCTTCTTTCTGTTTCTTTCTCTTTCTTTCTTCTTTCTTTCTTTCTTCTTTCTTTCTTTCTTCTTTCTTTCTTTCTGTTAAGAGATGTTTACTATAGGGTATGTGCACGCGCCAGAGAGAGAGACAGAAAGTGAGAAATCACCCCCCCCCCCAGGGGGGATGGCTACTCTGCAGTCCCTCCTCCTCCATTCTCCTCTCGGGATTTTGGGCATGCACACGCACCTGGATTGAGTTTCACACTGCCAGGTCAAAGACTCAGGAGAAAAGCTGTTCCAGGCTGGGGGACGGCATATGTGACTTCGAGGTGGCTGGAAAGGCACAGCGTGTTCAAGGAAGGGCTGGAGGTGAGAGGAGGGCTGAGAGGCGAGGCACCAACACGAGGGGGCCATCCCAGGCGGCTCCCTGCAAGCACAGAGGGGTGGAAGTAGGAATAGGTCTAGAAGGTTCTGTGTCCACACGGGGTTAGAGACTCCCTTATAGAACAGTGGGAGGCTGAAATGTTTTTCCCAACTGTGATACAGAGCCAGACCGGGTGGCCTCAGGGGCTCCTGGGCCTGGTGCTGCCAGCAGTAGGGAGCTATAGAGTGTGCTTGAGTTCAAGAGGGCTGTAGGGGGAAGGACGATTTCTCCTGGGGAGGCAGGGGGTGTACTGGCCATTAAACATGTTCTCAGACCTGCTGGAGCTCAGTACTCCCCAGCCACGTGCCCTTCTCCTCCAGTCGCCATCATTTCTGCCGCCCTCCCCTTGGGAGCTGTTTCTTTTTTTTTTTCTCTCTCTCTCTCTCTTGTTTCTTGCTGTTTGGGTTTTTTTCTTTTTCTCTCTTTCATTTTCTTTCTTTCTTTTTTTTTTTTTTTTTGGAGGAGAGATTTTTGCTATAGGGTGTGTGCACTTGCCAGAGAGACAGGAAGAGAGAAAGCACCCCCCAGGGGGGATGGCCATGCCGCAGTCCCTTCTCCTCCATTCTCCTCTTGGGATTCTGGGCATGCACGTGCAAGCTTGAGTTTTAAGCCGCCAGGTCTGGGACTCAAACCATGGCTGATTATGTGGGAGTCCAGTGCCTTAACCACAGCGCCACCTGCTGGTCCCGGGAGCTGTTTCTGACTCTTCCTAAGCAAACCAGAGATGGTGGGGTGGGGATTGGCAAGGTTTAGTCCCAGCCCAGCCTCACTGCAGTTCCCTTAACACACCCTCCCCAACCAGACAAGCCTGTGTTGAGGCCCCCCAACCCTCCATCACCATGGAACCCCAGCTAAAAATACCCCACTCAGTGTGAGGATTGGGGGCAGGACCCAGAGAGCCTGTTGTTGGGTGAGAGGAGTGGGAGGAAGAAGGATAGGAGTGGAGACCCTGGTTCCAGGCCAAAGCTTCCCATTGCCAAGGCAACCGAGGCCCAGGTATGGCCTAAGAGGGGGGAGGGATGGGGTTCTCTGAGAGGCCAGGCAGCCAGGCTCCCCCAACCCCGGCCCTTTCCTGGTCTCTGTGTTTTTATGTCTGCGCTGCTCAGTGTTGGCAGCCCTAACAGGGCACCAGACAGAATGACTGGAACTGAAGACATGTAGTCTCTGACGGTTCTG